GTGTTGTTGAACTTTCCCAGGTGTACGGCTACAGACCGTCATACTCCCAGTGTCCAAACCCACTTCCTGTTGTTTTGGTGGTCCGGACTACTCTGACCTCTACGTAACATCTGCTCGTCTTGGCCTGAGTGAATCGGAGAGCAGACTTCAGCCACTGGCTGGACACATTTTTAGGGTGAGAATTGAATAGTTGACACTTACGTTTTACTGAACTGTTAGTGACATGGCTGTGACTAGACCAGGCATGGGCAACGCTCTTTAACTCGCCGGACCACAATTGGTCCTAAAATGCTAAAATGCTTTTAGCTTTCTCTACGCCATCTATAGGGAAAACACGGGCATTGCAGGAAAAAGGCCGAAGTAAAATCACAATACTAAAAATAATAAAATAATAAATATTATTTATTATTTTTTGTATTCTTATTATTTTATATATTTTATGTATATTTTATATATTTATATTATATTTTATATTATAATATATATTTTAATTTTTTTATTTTATTATTATTATTATTAATTGTATTATTATTATTGTTATTTATTACACAATAATAAAATTAAATTATTTGGACGTAAATTTAGCGGGCCGGATTACAAAGCTGAACGGGCCACTTCCGGCCCTTGGCCCTTAGTTTGCCAATGCCTGGACTAGACTGTGACCTAATCTTATCACCAGCTTTGACTTTGACGTTTTAGGTTTAGCTTGGTGAGTTTGAGTTTTTTAATCTCATCAGCGACTTTGCTGTAACCGCAGGTGCGAGGACTTGGAGTGAAGGGTCGACCGTCGACTGCATTCTCAAGATAAGCAGCTAAATGAAAAACATCAAGTGGTCAGCAGCAGGACATCCCCAAAACCTGTGCGGACGTGCGTTCGTGTTATATTTTCCTCTATTGTTCTGAAATGACTCAATCAATAAACAGAAAGATTCAAAGTCACCCAATCCGACGGTCCTTCAATAGTAGCTTCAACTAAAACAAAGCTACTTTTTACTTTCATTTCGTAGAAAAGACTAAGAATAATTTCACTTTTGGAATTATTTGTTGTTTAGATTATCCTGCAAGGGTCCTATTACTGGCATCAAGAGTGTATCTTCTCTAATTTTTGGAGTGATAACTGATGTCTCAGTACGGCATATTTCTTATCTACCCCTTCAGTGTCGTCCCAACTGAACAAATACACATCCTATTCATTTTATTATGTCTATAGAAACCATCAATATTATCGAGATATTATCGACCCATGGTCATTAACTTTGGGTTATGACCAATAGAACAAGATCCCGGATACAAGTGGCGAAAATGAGCTTTCTTCGCAGGGTCGCAGGGCGCTCCGTTAGAGATAGGGTGG